GGGGGGGGGGGGGGGGGGGGGGGGGGGGGGGGATGGATTATTTATGTTGTGGGGACATTGTTTACAGTCACATTGCGGGGACTCGCCTTCCTTTTGGATACACAAAATGCAAGTCCCCATAAAGTAAATCATAAAAATTTAGGGTGTTTAAAATTTATGGTTGCTGCAAACAATGACAATCTACAAACTCTGTATTAAAACTAAAATGGTCACTCAACCAAGGCTTTTCTTGCATTGTATGACGATATTGTTGTGTACAAAAGTGTACAAGATCAAATTTAGTCTCTTAAAACAAGCCTAAGCGTTGGATTTCATCTTCACTAGCTTTATGAATGTTAAATATAAAAATAAAAATAAAAAGGAGATTAAAATGTAGAGAAAAACACCCAGACCTGACATACAGTGACCAAGGCCCTCTTCTCTCTTCATGTGCAAGGTTTTACATGGTAAACAAGTGAGTGAGAGAATATAAGCTACTAGCACCTCTGTATGTGAGCTAGAAAGAGAAATTGGTAGCGAGTAGACAGTCAGAGCAGTGCAGTAGATGAGAGACCACCCAGACTGAATGAGGTCAATAGGACTGACTGTATACGTAGGTGGATCAGTACACCGCATATTACTGTCCACTTAGCCTGCTCTCTTCCATGCTCAATCAAACACTCCATCTCTGCTTCACCCTCTTTTCTTATTCTTGCTTTCTCTCCTGCCGGGCAATCAGTTATACAACTGGAAATCTATACAGCAGTGGTTCCAATCAGTAGTCTGTTCAGTGTGTATTCATAATAACAATAATAATAATAATAATTAGGTTTAGATCTGATTATTCCAAACCATTTACTCTAAGATTAAAGATTACAAACACTACAAGTAGATGAAACTGCATTTGCAAAATATGAAAAACAAAAGCTTAAAGAAAAATAAATAAATAAATAAAATGTTTCATCCTCGGAACAAATATTTTTTGAGCAAATGTCTTAAATAGAGTAACTTTGAAGTATGATTTGCCTTACTTTGACGCCAGCATCACTCTGTCAACGTAGGCGGCACATTTTTCACATTGCAGCCATCTCCGTTTGGAATGACGCTGATTAAACACTCATACACACTTTAATGAGGCTTTGGGAATAGTTTAAATATTGTTTCACTGACTTATGTCTTTTATTAACTAACACTACACCAGTAATTACATCCCGTCTCTAGCTGACTCATCCTAGATAAACACGTCAATGCAGTACAATTCTTCCGTCCTCCTCCCTTCTGGTTAGGCTGAGCTTTTGAAGTTGCCACCCAAAAGCATAAAGAGAAATCAACAGAGTCTTAGTGACTGAGGCTCTGAATGGATGTTTTTTTTTTTTTTTTGTCAATGGAAGGTGGGAGGTGAGAGAAATTAAATGGAAGACATCAAAACAGAAAAGGGAAATGTCTGGGGAGTGGTGTTTACCAATGTGTTTTCTTTTTTCCCTCAGAATTTTGTGCTGCTGTTTCGGTTCCACGCTGGGAACAGGAGCAGTGTCTGTCAGAGATTAACACTACACAGGGAGAGCGGGAAGAAAGAGAGGCAGACAGACAGTAAGAGAGACATAGAGAAAGGGGGAAGGGAGGGAGGGAAGGATAAAGAAAGACAGAGCCGATAAACACAAAAGTGATTTTTTAAAAGAGGGAGTCTGAAAGTGAAAGAATCCTTTAAAAAAACGGCAGAGAATCAGCAGAGACATGGAGGGAATGAGGGGTGGTGGTGGTGGTGGGGGGTGTTATAAATAGAGGAGACAGAAACCAGGGCCTCTCCCCTCACTGGATGCCACATTAATTATGCGCGTCTGCATCAGGAGAAATTAAGACATGGCTGTGTGTCAGTTTAGAGGGAGAAATTGAGGAGGGAGGGGATAGGGAGAAATGGCAGGCGAGGAGGGACAGAGCTGAGAGCAAATGTCAGTCAGAAATTTTAAACTGGACACCAAAGACAACGAGGGAGGGCGAAAGGGAGGCACAAATGAGTGGGAAAGAGGGGAGAGCAGAGAGGGAGAGCAGAGAGAGAGAGCGAGAGAAAAGGCTATTAGCTAAAGACCAAAACAGTGGCGCAAAAGCAGGAAAAGAGAAAAGTATGCTTTTGTCTGCACCCACACTCAATTTCAAAAAGGAGACAAGAAAGACAGAACAGCTAATTACAGAGTAGTGAAATATGAAAGTGTGTGTGTATGTGTGTATGGGACCATCGAGTCAACATGTCATTAGATCAACAAAGCCCTACAAAACTCAAAATGACTGTCGAGCAGGGGGAGCGAGAAAAATATTTTATGAATGCAAATAAATACGCCACCAAAACCCAAATCAAATGTTATTCACGTGAGGCCTTCTCCTGAACATCTTAAAAAGCTCCCGCAATCAGATGCCATTCAGACATGAATCAACAGCAGAATCTTATGCTAATGAAATCAAATGATACATATTCATGTTCGAGCGTGACACACCTTAATAACCTTTTCGGTCACGCTCGCTACGCTGCACAGGGACGGGGTGGGGGGGTGGATTCAAGGGCACAGAGCAGTTTCTTCTTCTCCGTCCTACATCGCGTCTTTTGTTCCGCCGCCACTAACTCGTCTCTTCTTAGAGCCTCTGAACTTCCTGTCACCTCTTCGCTCTGGCTTTCTCTCATGCAACTCTATCCTGCGTCAGTGTCAGGCACTGTGTATAACGTTACACTATCATTTGACTCTCCGGCTAGATGTGCGTGTTTCAGAGCAGTCACTTGTTTTGTGAATGTTCCAATTTGTTTCGTGAACATCTTAACAAAACCGGTGAACCAGAAGAATGACACCCAACCTGATTTTCTCCACAGATTCTCTTTCTTTCGAATATATATTTTTTTTTTTGGAAAAGTGACAGCTCTTATGTGTGAATGCTTAGCTGTGTTGTTATCTACTTGAATGTGTCCATTTGACTGTGTGTTGTGTGTTTGTGTTCATATTAGCCCATAACAGCAGGTCAGTGCAGCCAGCCAGCCCCCGCGCTAGGCTCAGGACTCATTATGTGGCTCGGTCCTGCCTACTAACTCCCACCTACCTGTGAAAAACTTGCTGACACCACCGATGACTGGCAAGGGAGAAAATGTGTGAAAGAGTGTGTGCGTCAGAGTGCGTATAGATGGAAGAGGTTATGTGCACGATGACAAATGCTTAATTTAATCTTTGAGCGTATAGGAAGAGTGTGGTCTTATAAATCGGATTAATTATGCATGTGTGTGTATATGCATCTGTAAAAATAACAAAAATTCATATCAACATGTACCTGCTAGAGAGCCTCGGCACTGACTAATAATGGGGGGTTTGCATCCCTGTCAATCAAATCCCCTGTTGCTTGCATCAATTATTTCACAGCCACGGCTTACTTGATCTAACCTCTACTCCGGGCCCGCCACACACACACACACACACACACCTACACACACACACACACACATATGCACACACTAGTCTCCCTCCAACGCTGGCCAAGGCTACATTTCCATGACAATTAACCACCAGACGACAGTGGAGTCAGCCACCCTACGCAAAAAAAGCCCTTTAAAACGGAGATAGGAATGGAGAGGGGGAGTAAAAGAGAGAAAAAGAGAGGGAGTGTGTGGCCTGGATAAGTGGTGGCAGGATTATAGCTAGTTCCATCATGGCTTTGGTCCGTTCACTGCTTCTTATAAAAACCTATTAGCATGTGAATGAACAGGCACACAGTGGATGGGAGTTTTCTAAAGCCCAGGAGCACCGATCCACTATCAGGTGAGCCTTCCATAAACTGGGAGTGAGCGGGGGAGGATGGTGTGTGTGTGTGGGTGTGTGTGGGTGTGTGTGTGAATTTTGGGGTTAGTCTGTTTGATTGTTGCCACATTTTTTGGGGGGGGGATTTCACAGCACTCAACATACGAGTACAGTGCTTTAAATGCTGTAATAAAGGCTCATTTGGGAGTAAACAATTTAATCAGCTTATTACTAGCCAGTGGTCTTTGTACAAACTGCATTGACAATATAACAGACAGATATTTGGTTTGATGGCTGACATCAGAAACAGTTAAATTGTCATGTTCAAAGGAAAAACATGAATTTCTATGGTGGAAAAATGTGGATTTCAAAATAAAGTAGCTTCTGTGGTTACTGTGTGTGCGGTTCTTCTCACATCTCTGAACCAAAATGATCTCGTGTTCGAAGCAGACTAAACTTGGACTGAGAGTGTGAAAATATAATGCAGAAATGTAGGTGCCAAAATAGCAGAACACCAAGAGTTACCAACATGGGACACTGGGAAATGATGAAACTAGGGCCATAATGCCCCGCTGTACTGCTCACCTCCCTTTGCAGAACCAGCTCTTTGGTGAACAGCATGGCTTCGTCACTGAAGGGTTCAGCCACCTGCATCCCTCCAGGCATATTCCTGGAACTGCGAGGACATTCGATACCTAGCCAAAGACAACACAATTGCAGGAGTTAAAGGTCAGCACAGCAGCTAACCAACAAAAACAGCGAGATGTCCTGAATAGTTTTAAACATTATTTGGCTTAATATGCCCAGAGACATAACTGGATCTGTTTGTCAAAAGAAATGCATAAATACTCTGGGGAATTAATATAAAACTATTCACAAGTCAGTGAACATACTTAATATACATCATTTTCAGAACCTCAGGTGCTCGAAACCACTGATGCCACATCGGGCATCCTTCTCATCCCTCTTAACAGGTCAAGGTCAAAATGGCTTAGTCACACGATTTCACAAAGGTATGTCAGTGGCATGACACAGATTAGCTAACTACACTATCGTCAGCACTCAACGGAAAATTGGTCATCAAGGGGTCAACCCTGAGTGCATAAAGTGCTTCTGCATAACACGTTTCCAATGAAAACGGGCTTGTTGGAATCTGTGTCTTTGGGACCCCTTTGACGTCAACTTCGGTTCATTTTCTGAGGCTTTCTTGTGGAGTTCAGGTATGAATGGAGAAGCTTCAGGGCAGAAGTGGGG